AACAACAACAACAACAACATATATAATAGTAAACAAATTTATATGTATGTATGTACATAAAATATTTCCCAAGGAGTTCCTCAAGTTTCCTCAATGTGTTAAAACATACTTTTATTCTTCTTTATGCTTATCTGTACTTTCTAGTTACTCTAAAGAAAACAGGTCATTTTTCAATTAAATACTGAGAAAGTTCTTTTTTTCCAATTAAAATAAATCTATTCCCACCCTCAGAGACCACCTTACAGCCAAACAACAGACAAGTCTATAAAGTGAACAGTAACCCCCATACGGGGCATGCTCATGAGAAGAGTCAACCACATGAGACCGAGGACAGATCAAAACCAAAGTTCAGAAGGCAGGAAGGGGCAGGAAAGATGGGCAAAAGGAAACGGGAACCCAGGGAGGACGTGGGAGGAGTGCTGTAACACAAGTAATGTCATGAAACAAATCTGTGTAAATTGTTGAATGGAAAATTAATCTGCTTTGTAAATTTCCACCCAAACTACAATAAAAAGTTTAAAAATAAAAATTAAATAAATCCATGGACACACTGGACAATCTACTTCCATAGTGACACTGCCCTGGAAACCCAAGGAGGGGTCGCTATGAGTCAGCTCCAACTCGACAGCAGTGAGTTTTTTTTTTTTTTTTTTTTGGTATGAACACAGAAGAAATTACCCCAAAATGCTAAGTAGAAAAGGATTGCTCAGGCCATATCAGAAGCTGCCTGCATAAAGGAAGCAGGCGTAGCACGCATCAGTTACCATACAGTGAATTCACAATTTTAAGGAGACGTTAGGCAGAGCCACAGCGTTCTGTATTTATAAAAGCATACTCCATGGCAAACATGGAATGGTTATGAATTGATGCTCCAAACATCTCGGGATCAACTATGTAAAGAACAGAACTGATAAAAACAGGGGAAGAAATTGTTAAAGTGTCTGGAATTAGAGGTTGTAACATACAGTGATCACTGTAGTAGAGCAAGGAGCCCTAAAAATAAGATCAAGAAAGAGGTACACTCCCCTCGACCCCAAAAAAGAAAGTGCCTGAATTACCACTGCCCATCCATATCCCTTTCCCAACCAGACCGCAGGCAGGTGGCTGACGGCTCCAGTAAGACCTCACCTGGCACGTTGTGTATAGTGATGGCCAAGATGAGCAGTGCGATTCTCCTCCAGCTGCCGCCTCCAGGCTGTCCTGGGTGCCCCCGAGAAGGCACGGGGGCTTCAGGGACCCCCGCAAGGGTGGCAGCCCTCCTCCTCTGATATGCCTCGCCATTCTCACTCTTGTCTGCAAAGAGAGCAAAGGGAAAGAGGGCATTGGAAAATGAGCAGCTGACACTGTGGACAAGCAGCAGTGGAAGGAAGCTTTCAAGACTGGAAAAGGTTCTACTTCCAAGCTTCCTGTAGACATGGATTCTTCTGTCAGTCTGCTCATTCATTCATTTGTTCAGCAAACACTCATCAAATAGAACTCAGTGTCCAATGCACAGGGTGAAAAAGCTGAAACTATGGTGTCTTTCAAACCAAAAAACCAAACTCACTGCCTTTGAGTTGATTCCGACTCATAGCTACCCACGTTGGGTTTCCAAGGCTATAAATCTTTATGGAAGTAGACTGTCTCATCTTCCTTCTACAGAGTGGCTGGTGGGTTTGAACCACTCACTTCTTGGTTAGCAACCACTACATCACCAGAGTCCTTTTATGGTGTCCTAGGAATGTCCATTTATGACAAGCCATACTGAGTGGTGACTAGGAGCAAGGATTCTGGAACCTGACTGCCTGGTTCAATTCCTGACTCAACCATTGATCAGCTGTGTAGTGCTAAACTGAAAAGCCAAAGGATGAGGCCCTAGGTCAGAAGACACTACAAATACAGTGGCCACAATGAACTTCAGCCTAACTGTGATCATGAAGATGGCACAGGACTGGGCTATGCTTCGTTCCATTGTACATGGATCACTGTGAGCCTGAGCCAACCGACTGCACCTGAAACCACCACCAACACCACTCTCAAGCAAGTATTAAACTCGGTGCCTTATTTTCCTGATTTATAAAAATGGTATAATATTTGGGGAGGATTGAATGGGAGAAGCTGTGTAAAGGATTTGGAATAGTGCCTGGAATATGCTAAGTGTTGTAGGCGTTGGCTGGTCTCACTGCCATCACTTTTTCTCTTTTCCACCATCCGACAGAATTAACACAGTATATGACAGACCCTAGTCCCGGGCACGCTAACTCATGGAGAGCCAGAGTTTAGACAGTGGGCTCAGCCATTCAGACTCTCCCTGGGGATGGGTGACTGGAAGGACTGGGTGACTCCGGTGGAGGGTATGGGTCTGGAAAGCCATGTCATTGAAAGGCAGCCATGCCATACCATATGAGAATGAATGAGGGAAGCAGCTTGGCAGACAGACAGAACGAAGAAGATGGACACAGACAAGGTCAGATGGGAACCATGAAGCCAGAGACAGACAGACAGACAGCAACCTTGGTGCCATAGGACTTTCTAGCCCTCACGGGCCAACTGCAGCAGCTTCCCTGGGGTTTCACAAGCCAGCCCTCCTTTTAAAAATCCCCCTTTTGGTTTACATTTGAGAGGGTTTGTTTCTTATGGAAGGAGTCCTGGAGATGCAGTGGTTAAGCTCTTGGCTGCTAACGGAAAAGTCACAGGTTTGAACCTGTAAGCCACTCCATGGAAAAAAGGTCTGGCAGTCTGCTTTCATCAAGAGTAAAATCCACTGCCCTGGAGTTGACTCCAGCTCATAGTGATCCCCATTGTGTTTCCAAGGTGATAAGTCTTTACAGAAGCAGATTGCCTCATCTTCCTTCCATGGAGCGGCTGGTAGGTTTGAACCGCCAATCTCCTGGTTAACAGTCAAGTGCCTTTGGCACTGCGCCACAGCCTTGGAAACCCTATGGGACAGTTCCACTCTGTTCTGTAGGATCGCTATGAGTCAGAATCAACTCCACAAAGGCAAATGGTTTCTTATGGCCAGGTTGTTCTAAGACTCCTGACTCCCCAGGTTATTTGTATACTCTTAGGGGGGCAAACAGCCTAGCTTTGAAATGCAGAGGAGCAAGAGTGAGGAGGAGCCTCCAGCCTGCTGATGGACTTGGGGGTCAGGCTTCCTGGAGGAATAAGATCCGAAGCAGGTCTTAAATAGGTGATTATACAAATAGAGAAAAACATCTCTCTATCGTGAGTGACCACAAGAGCCCACTCAGATGTCAGAGACAGGGCACCGGAACTTGTCTGTAGGATCTCCACTCTGAGTAGAGCAACCCCATCCCAGCATTGGCCTGCTAGCCCAGAGCAAGTAGGGACTTCCAGAGAGATGACAGCCCAGAACACCCTATGGGCTCAGTTCTATTCTGCATGGAGTCGCCTTGAATCAGAAGCAACTCACAGGCCACGGGTTTAGGATTTTATGGTTTTTCACATTCAAAAGAGTCTTGGTTGGTACGCTAAATTAGGTGACCCCTTGACTGTAGCAGACAGGTGACTGACACCCTTACCTCATTAAAATTTCTGGTCACCCACATGAAGGGTGAGAAGGTGTTTCTACTCCCCTGCTCCATTGACAAAATGCCCACCTGTCAGAAACTCTCCTCTCCAAGCTGAAAGTCATGGAAACATTTTCCCAGAGCCAAATGAAGAAGTAAGAAGCAATTTTAGGGATTCCTGAAGCCCTGTGGGGTACAAACTGAAAGGGTGGAGGTTCAAGTCCACTCAGGGGTACCTCAGAAGAAATGTCTAGGAATCCACTTTTAAAAACTCAGCCCCTGAAAACAGGACTGAGCACAATTCCACCGGGAAACACGTGGGGTCTCCGAGAGGTGGCGTCCACTCAGTGGCACTGAAAACAGGACGGAGTACAGTTCCACCCGGAAGCACGTGGGGTCTCTGAGGCGGCATCCCCCAGCAGCACTGGTTTTCCTTTTACCTGCCTGACCAGGCACTGTGGCCCAGCCTCCCCTTAGTCCTTGTAAAACAAGACAACAGCAGTGGGTATCATTCTCTTGGATCCTCCATTTAAAGTCATTTTCTCACTCTTAAAAATTTGATGAGACCATTAACTTTTCAGAAGGCCTCACCTTAGTGATACTGTGTTAGATTTCAAAGGCATGAAAGGTAGAAACACTTCTTTGGAAAATCACTTTGTATTATCTGCTCAAGTTAAGCAAGCACTGCCAAAGAGCAGGTGGACTCACTCCTCTCTGAGTCCTAATTGGTTTTCTCTGACCACCAGCCGAACCTTAGTGCCGCTAGGGAGAAAGGGCCCTTAACTGATTCTCCACATTATCAGGACCCTGACGGACAGGAGCTGGGCCTCATAAAGCAGGCCCCACACAGCGGGCCCCAGGAAAACACAGCAGCATGCAACTCCTCCCAGATACAACATTCACGTGAGACAAAGCTAAATTCTCACTGTGTGTACCCACATTATGCATGTGTGTGTGCAAGTGTGTATGCATGTGTGCAACGAGAGCACATGTGTGTACGTATGTGTAACTATGTGCATGGCATGTGTGTGCACATGTGTGTGAGCGTGCGTGTGTGTATGCATGTGCACACAACACCCACTCGGTACCATCTTTCATGCCTCAGATATCATACAGCCTTCATGCATGCATGCATGTACTTGTGTGTTTCTGCACACACATGATGGGGGAGGTCTGTGTACATCTAAAGTTGACAATATCTGGGCAGCTCAGGTTGCAGAGGCTGGTCCAGAAATTGAGCCAAGTGAGCCTGTGGGATTTGCAGACATAAATGCAAACCAGGTGAGCATGGCTGGCCCGAGCTCTCAGGGAGCAGTCAGTAAACACTGCTGAGTCCTGGGCCCCTCTGAGTGCCCAGGCTCAGCCCCGATGCCCTCCAGCGGGCCACCCAAAGAAGAAAACAACCACTGCCCTTCGCTGTCACCGGGTGCCCCAGTCGACTCTGACTCAGTGTCATAGCGACCCCATGTGACAGAGCAGGACTGGCCCACAGGCTTTCCTAGGATATAATCTTTGCAGACACAGGTCTTTCTCCCTCAGAGCCGCTAGATGGGTTTGAGCCGCCGACTTTTGGGTTAGCAGCCGAGCATCTAACCACTGTGCCTGCAGGGCTCCTTGCTAGCGTAGCTATCATTTCTTGAGCTCTTAGCATGCACCAGGCACCAAGTGCTTTACTCGAGCTAATTCTCCTCCTTGCACACCCAGGGCACAGGCACCCTTGTTGTCAGCTGCTGTCACGTCCACTCTGACTCATGGGGACCCTGGGTACAACAGAAGAAAATACTGCCCGGCCTGCGTCATCCCCGTGGGCCTTCACACTGCTCTCAGGGATTGGTAATTGACAAGATCAAACAGAGATGACACGAATAAATTCCCTTAGATCTAAAAGTCAGAGACACGCGTGCTATCACCAACACTGAAGGCTATGCTTATTTTCCCATGTGTCCTGAGAGGACCCTACTCTGACCATAACACAGCAGACACAGTGCAGAGAGCAGCAGGGCTGGGAGGCCTTGTAGCAAAAGCCAGCGCCACGCTGGGGTTTAACGGGAACCTCGTGAGGAAAGAGAGGTACTGACGGAGGCAGAATTGTGCACCGCGCTTTGGGGTCTCAACGTATGAAAACTGACGTAGGTGCCTTCCCTGATGGGAACTGGGTGAGCAAGAAAGCCTGACACAATTGTGAAAGTTAAATGAGCCATCATTTTGGTCACGGCCACTAATGAGTTTGCAACAAGGAAGATTAGCCCAAATAAATCATTACAGAGAGCACGAGGCCTCCCCTGCCATGAATCTCCTTGCCTCGCCTGGTAAAAATAAGCAAGAAGCAGTTGTCGGCGAGTCATTCCGACTGACGGCCACCTCACATGTGTCTGGGACTGCTGGGCTCCACGGGGCTTTCAGTGGCTGAGTTTGTGGAAGCGATCACCAGGCTTTTCTTCCAAAGGCCTCTGGGTGGACTCAGACATCCTTCTGATTGGCCGCCAACTGCATTAACTGTTTGTCCCACTCAGGCACAAGCCCAGGTCCCCTCTCCTGGTAGGTTAAAGGAGCCCACAGCACTGAGGACAATGCCAGCACGAGGGCAGGCACAACACAGCAAGCCTGGTGGATAGAGGCGAGAGGTGGTATCAGGGACAGGAGCCGGTGAGGAAGGTTTGGGCACTTTCGGAGCAAGGTGTGGCCGAGAGAAGGAAGGTCACTCCAGGAACGTGGAACAGCCAACATCAGCCTCAAATGGACCACAGCAGTGGTGAGGCTGGCGCAGACCAGGGCAGGGTTTCG